TGATCCTTGGAGGTCTCACACTTCACATCCCAGCACACACACGAACACATGCTTGTTGATGTTTGTTGATCATGGTTTACATGTTTATAGTTGTTCATCCCACGTTTTCTTGATGATTCTTAGAAATGTTTCTTTACAGGTGCAGCAGCTGGTTGCTGTTTTTAATACTTTCACATTATCATTTTCCCCACACTTTCTGTATACCTGTATTTTGTTGTTTTTCAATAAAGAATGAGGAATTATTTGTTTATGGGTTTTTTTTTGCACACAAATAAATATCTGTAATAAATATCTACAAATATCTACAAAACTATTATTTACATAACAAGTATGATTGGGTTTTGCAATATGGCAGCCTCTAAGGTGTATTTTAGTAAGATTTTTAAACCAAGTAAAGTTAGTAAAGAACACATCTCTATTGGCTGCTAAGAAACTGTTGGACTTAAAATGGGCCTGTTGTAGAAACAACTTGGAATAAATGATTCTTCCTTCCTTTTTTGTCTTAACCAAAGAAATTCCAGTAATTGAGCAACAACATTTATTACATCACATTTTATAAAATAACAGGACACAAAGTGTCGGCACAGGAAGATGTGATGTGAGAATGCATAACAACGGCACAATTTAAGCTAGAAATAAGTGTAGCCATAACACTGTTGACAAACCTCCTGGCCTTCTCAATTTTAGCAGGTTTTAAACCTGCCCTCCAGCTACACCTTTGGGTGATGGATGACATGATGATCATCACATGAGGGCGTAGAAGGTGAAGCCGGTGCAGGTCTTCCTTCATCATGTTGACCAGCTTCACACTGCTGACCACCCCCATGTCATTGCTGCCACAGTGGATGAGAAGGACATCAGGAGCTGCTCTTCCTCGCAGGGAGTGGAAAAAGAAGGGGAGAAGGTCTTTCCACCTCAGTCCGCCCCAACCGAACCAGGAGACACGGACGTCAGGGAGGCCAAGGATGTCTCCGAGGGTCTCTGCAGCTCTCTGGGCACCACGCCTCACGTAGCTGTCTCCAATTATCCAAATGGCTATGGAGAAAAAAAATAACAGGTTTGGCCTAGCTGTTTAAAGTACAAAATCATACATGAAGTGGTCAAGACAGGTATTTGGTACTTACACTTGCTGCGTTGTGTAGCTGATGTTGGAGACACACAGGCTGCCATGGTGACCTTGTAACAGATCTAAGAAAAAAATGTAATAAAAGAATGAAACTTAAAAACTCCCAGACCTCATGTCATATTTACTAATCAGCTATGGCTGATTTATTGTTTGGATCACAGTGAGTTACACTAATTCTAATATATTTTTATTTCTATTATACATACATACTTTTTAACTGTTATTTTCACATGACTGTTATCAGGCTGTCTTGTTCTGGTTCTCATGATAATTCCGTGTCTTCCAGTAAGTTATCTTGTGCTTACTTCATCTGTATAATGTCTCTTTACTTTTGGTGAATTGTACTGAGTCCAGAATGAAGGCTACTTGTCTGTACAAGATACAAACAAGAATTAAGTTTTAGAAATACGTGAAATGTATTTAGCCTGCTAATTTATCTCAAATACTAATAACTACCGTGTTTTCCGGACTATAAGTCACACTTTTTTTCATAGTCTGGCCGGTCCTGCGACTTATACTCCAGAGCGACTTATATACCAAATTATGTAGGCTATACCCCGCTGCTGCGGGCCGGCTCTGGACCAGGAATGAGCTCCCCTGCCCCGCTGGGAATAAAAAACACACAGCCATCACCTGCTGGAGCCTGTTGCACACTGGATCTGGCCCAGGTTTCATCTCCTCTGCCCAGCCTTCACCTGCTGCAGCCTGTGGTGCGCTGCTGCGGGCCGGTTCCAACCCAGGAATGAGCTCCCCTGTCCCGCTGGGAGGGTTTCAAACACAGCTATCCTCTACTGGAGACCGTGGCACTCTGCTGCGCCCGCGTTGTATATTCTGTTATTGTTACCGGTACTTGTCTTGCAATGTGAAACGCTTGGTCTCAGATTTTGTAAGAAGAATAATAAAATTTCCCTCCAAAATACGACTTATAGTCCAGTGCGACTTATACATGTTTTTTCTTCTTCATTATACATTTTATGGCTGGTGTGACTTATACTCCGGAGCGACTTATACTCCGGAAAATACGATACGTTAAAAATATTGAAAACTTGCTCAAAGCAAAATATATTTTCATTAAGGAAATAACTTATAAACTTACCGATTTCATACTTTTTTATTCACAGAAGGATAGTTTTCATGAAAAAGCGCCGCAAACCTCCACACAAACTCCGTGTGAGATTCAGGTCGCTGGTGTTCCACAGAGTTAGCTCCGGTTGTAGCTAGGTAGCTACCTCCATTAGCTTAGCTCCCACCTCCGCGTTAGCTTTGGATTAGCTTCAGGTTAGCTTGTAGCTAGTTCGACCGGGTGTCGTCAGTTGATCCCAGCCTTACAGCCCCACCTCTCTTCCCTTTTGTGTCTGGGCTTGACAGAACCTG